ATACTCAGCATATGTGGGCATGTATAGGCGTGCAACTTTAACCTTTTTGTCCAAGTTGGCTGATCTGCCTCTTACAGTCTCTTTTTTAAAAAAGTATAAATTTTATTAAGACATTAATTTGGATATATTTTTTTATACACTTGGGAATGAGGGAAAACAAATGCAAAGAGAAATAAAATAGCTGTGAACTATTCTCTTTCTACTAGGAGACATAGATAGAACCTAGCATAGGGAAACAACATGTAAGGGTTATTCAAAAGTGGATTTAAAGTATAGGGTGTGTGGTGGTTTGAATAGGTATGGCTCCCATAGACTCATGTGTTTGAGTGCTTGGTCTGTAGGGAGTGGCGCTATTATAAAGTGTGGCCTTGTTGGAATAGGTGTGGCCTTGTTGGAGGAAGTGGGTCACTGTGGGGGTGGGCTTTGAGGTCTCATATATGTTCAAGCCATACCCAGAGTAGGACAGTTTACTTCCTGTTGCCTGCCAGTCAAGATGTAGAACTCTCAGCTACTTCTCCAGCACCATGTGTGCTCGCACACTGCCTTGCTTCCCATCGTGATGATAATGGACTAAACCTCTGAAACTGTAAGCCAGCCCCAATTAAATGTTTTCCTTTATAAAAATTGTCATTGTAGCTGTGTCTCTTCACAGCAATAGAAACCCTAACTAAGACAGGGTGTGTTTATATATTAATACCAAGTGTAGATCGGAGTACAAAGTCAAGGATCTTAGTACTTATCAAATAGTCCAAACCATGGAGTACTTATAAGATGTATTAAGTAACAGATATAATTCAGAAGTGGTATTAGAAAGGACTGGTATCTGCTACAAAGATCTCCTCTATCTTCATCCTTGATATATATTCTACTCTGGGACAGTGCATGGCACCCAGTAGATGTCTATTCACCATTTCTTTGTGAGTGATAAAGAATATCCTACAGTTGGGTGTGAAATTAGTAATGGAAATGGAATTTAATTTCTAGTTACAATGACATGATTTCTAGGAGGCATATAAGAAGCTGTCCTTAAACAATCGGCACAAAAGTGCTAGATTTGGGTTTCTTAGGAATTCTCTAGCTGATTGAATCATTCTATACAAATGTAGCTCCATTTCAGGAGCCAGAACTACTGGAATCTTCTTGGCCATCTTTTACCAGTTCTACCAGATCTAGAAAATCCCCAGAGCTGACCTATCCCTGTGATCTGAGTCTGGCTAGATCTTAACATTCTCTGGAGCCATCCAAGTATGTTCCATGTCTGTGTGAGACACCATACTTATCAACTGCCACTGAATGTTTTTTCAGTATCTCCAGCATAGTGTTTGAGAATCGTATGTTCTCAGTTATGTTTTCACTTTTGAATCAGATTGAAAGTAGTAGGTTGTTGGAAAGAATTCCAGGACTCTCTCCACTGGCAGGGCAAAATGTCCTTTAGCACAGTCTTGGACACAATCTGGGTGACCTGTTAGCTTTGCCCAACCGAGCTGGTACTAGCATTCCATAGCCAAGCACAAGGAAGCAGGGTCCCATGCCACCCACGCCCAAACCTCTCTGACATTTCCGTGGGCCTGGAGCCAACTCCCCCCATGTGTTTCATCTCCCTCTCAGAATACAAAGGAACACTGAACCTTCCAGTTAATTCAACACCCTCCCCCCTTCCTGGAGAGGGTAACAGTTCTGTTGACCATTATAATGCATCTTCTGTCTCCCAGCAATCCACAGAGTCATTAATTTCTGCTGCTGACATCAGGAAAGAGGATTATGTGTGTGTCTGAAACTGTTCCCAGAGTGCTCATTAGTCATAGATAATTGAAAAACTGGTAGGGGAAGGTTTGGTGTAATAAGAGCCCCTGCTTGAGAAGAGGGACTGCAGCCACCCGATAATTGTAGGCTCCAGCTTTGACCACTCAGGCCAAATCTGTCCATTCAGATGGGAATTCATAGAGCCCAGGAGTCCTCAGGGCCATCTGACATCCCAAGGTGAGCATGTATACACAGCCAGATCAGAGCATAGGTGAATTGCACATGGATTTCTCTCCTGTCTTCAGCCTGAGGAACAGAACTTGGAAACAATGAAGGGAATCTGCTTTCATTTTGTTTTTATTTAAACTTAAGCTAACTTGGTCTGATTTAAACAAATAAATAAGGTCGAGATGTGGAAGCCACACAAATGGTTCAGTAGAATACTTCACAATACATCCTCATCTGTGCTGTAACAGTAATCAGTGTTTTTTTTCCAGAGAATTTCTGGAAGTATATCTGCATAAATGTTTGTAGTCTTTAAAAGGACCACAGATGTGATCATCAGATGAGCACTATCCTACATCCTGGCTTGTCCCTTAGTTTATCTTAGACTTTCTCCTAGATTCATACCTTAATTCTTCCTCATGTATTTTAATGACTATATAGGATTCTGCTGGATAGGTGTGTGTTTTGTTTGTTTGTTTGCTTTCTTTTTTAAATATCAGACCAGAAGAGAAACATGTTAAAAACTATTATACAAGAAATGTTTGTTCAAAGAAGAACAATAGAACCCATAGATTAATAGAAAGCACATATTCACCCACACTCCCATTGGAAACATTTCCTGTGTTTTACCTCCTAGGAATGTAGTTTTATAAATTCATCTACCTCCATTGTTATTTTTACAGTGAAGTCATATTCTGCATAATAGCTTGCAGCCTGCATTTTTCACTTGTTTGGGTGTTTGAAAGATAAAATGTTTCCTGTGCTAGCCTTTCTTCACACTGTAGGTTTATCTTTTTTAAAACCAAATTTGAGTGTCAAGAGTGGGTAGGTTCTCACTGCTTTGCTGCATGCAGCCCTATGTTGCCTCTCTCATAGGCTGCTCCTATTCCCCATTCTTTCCCCAGTACCCATTTCGCTAATAGACTGGCTACCTCAACTCCTGGCCCCTCTGGGCTCCCTACTGTAGTTGGAAGTTTTCCTGAATCCCTCCTGGTCCGCAGCCACTCAGACCCAACTAAACACACAGAGGCTTATATTAATTATGAACTGTTTGGCCATTAGCTCAGGCTTGTTACTGACTAGCTCTTACATTTAAATTAACCCATTATTCTTATTTAGCCATGTGGCTTGGTACCTTTTCTCAGTTCTGCCTTCACATCTTTCTTCCTCTGTGTTTGGCTGGCGACTCCTTACTCTGCCTTCCTCTTTCCAGAATTCCTTTAGTCTCCTTGCCCCACCTATACTTCCTGCCTGGCTACTGGCCAATCAGTGTTTTATTAAACCAGTGTACAACAGCACCCAACAGTGAACCACCATTTGTTTTGATAGAGCCACTTCCTGGAACATTCTAATTCTAGTATGATAACAACTATTTTCCACCTTTGGAAGTCATTTCAACCCTTGCCCAGGTGTTATCTCTACTTTGAAGATTTAATCCATTTTCTGAGGCCAATGTAAGGGGCCCTCCTCACTTCCTTAGGCATATCATATGCATTCTACCTTTCTAATATCTTCTACACAGTTCAGTATCTTAATTTCCCATCATCTTAGTTCCAGACTTCAGTGTGAATCTTTTGAAGACTTAGGGGCCTCTTTCACTTATTTACCAACAAGAACTTGGCACGAGATAGGTGAAAACTGGTGTAGACCATCTTCTAAACATTGTTTCTAAAAGGTTTGTGAACCACACAAGTGAGTGGTTTTATGAAGCATAGAAGAAATTGCAGATGTGGAATCAGTGACATTTTGATTAGCTCTAGGAAGAGCAGTGCTGTGGGTTATTAAATTTTACGGTGAATGAAAACTTTTGGGAAAAGTTATCAGATGGCATCTAATAGTTCTAAACCCTCTAAGATGCTTCTGGCTGAGAAAATGAAGATATGGGCAATTTCTTTTCTCTCAATACATATTTCCACCTTCCTGTCTTATGCTATGTCCTTCTGGTTTGGATAAACAAAGTTCCTTCATGTTTGGGGTCAGAGAGATGATGCCTAAGGGCTGTGGTTCCAATTTAAGGAGGGATACTCATCGTGATGAACATTAATTTTTATTCCTAGATCACTAGCCTCAGAAGCCTGGCTCAGTGCCCTAGGCTGAATTCTTTAGGGACAAAGCTGAGACAGATGTGGAATGAATTATTGAATGAGAATGGTTATCTGCAAAAGTGGTAGACCCAGGTTCAAAATCACCTTGGCCAGCAAAGCAGAGTGTTGTAGGGTGAAGTGTAGACAAATTTCTAAATGGTCTCATTAAATAAAAAACATGGAGCTAGAAATTTGGGTTAAAGCCTTAGAGAGATCAGGGAAATACGGAAAGCCACCAGCTAACCTCACCTCACCAAAACCACAGCTTCCAAAGAGCAACTTCCTGTCTACCCAGGCTTTATATAACTTGCTTTTCATATATATATTCTATATACCTCTCATTGGTTCTTAGCCCAGCTACCTCACTTCCTCTTCCTCTACAGTTCTGTCACTGTCTGTCTGTCTATATAGACCTCCAAGTCTCTATGGTTGATACTGGGATTAAAGGTGCCTGTCACCAAGCTTGACTCTGTTCCCTAGTGTGGCCTTGAACACACAGAGACCCTGCCTGCTAAGGGATTGAGGGCGTGTGCTGCCTGACTTCTTTGTTTACTTAAAATGGCTGGCCTTTCCCCCCTCATCTCCAGGTAAGCTTTATTTATTAACACACAAATAAAATATCACCACATTTCCGCACAAATAAAGTATCGCCACAGTGAAGGGTACCTGCCAGCCTTCCTCCTCCTTCACAGAGTCACAGGACGGAGGCCACAGAGAAAGCATCTGTAGCTGAGGTTCCCCAGGGGACTTGAGGCTGGCAGCTGGCCACTGTCTGTACCCTCAATCTTTTTAACTAGTCAACTTTTCCTTTCTTGGTAAGGGAATTCAAGCCATGACATCTTCTCCTCCTCCATACTTCCTACATTAAAACTACCACCATGAGCAGTAATTTTTTTCTCCACAAAATCTCTCCTGTCTTTTCTGTTCCTTCATTCCAATTACTCTTACCTTAATGGCTCCTCTCTTTGATGACTGAAGAGCTTCACTGCTGTTTTCTTCCATAATATCAAGCATATCCTCTCCTAAAATGTTGCTAGAATAAGCATCTGAAAACACGAATCCAGCCACCACTCTCTCTTGCATCACCTCTTCAATGGGATCCGGTGACGTCAGTGCTGAGGCCCACGCACTGCAGTGTTATTGATGGCCTGCTTCTTTAAGCATCTCTGACCATCGCCTGCTGCTTCCAACCCTGCCTGTGCTCCACCCCCTTTACCCAGCCCTGGACCAATCACTCATGGTACTTCCATTCTGTCCTGGTTCTTGTTCAAGATGCTCTACCTATTGAGAGACCTCCCTGACTTGTGTACACTGACACCAGGTCTGCTGCTAGTCCAGGACTCTGCTCACAGTCATCTGCAGCCACCTTTCACAGGCCAGATTCATTCATTTACCAATGAAGCCTTTTTTTTCTAAATCTCCCCAGAGAAAAGAGGTCTTCCATGCTAATTGCACTCTTGTCTAAAACTGTCCATAAAAGTTACTCCTTTGAAGTTGTAGAGCTTGGAGATGAATCTCTACAGAGTCTCTATTTTTACTTTCTTATAAAAATCAAACCTAAAAATAACTCCGTAGGCAGGATCTCCAAATGGTGGTAGTTTTAAAATGTACAATAATGCTTGTTTTAGAAGTACTTCTCTTGATCCCCTCATTTATTCAAAGCATGTTTGAGGAAAATTCATGCTTTGATGTCATAGTGCAAGGTTTGATGTCAGAGGAGAAACTAAGGCCCACCTCCAACTCTTAAGCTATGTTGCTGCAGGACATTTACTGTTCTGGACATTTCAATGTCCTGGCATCTACCTGTGAGATGGGGACAAAATGGATACTATGTACCCTTCATCGATGTGTTAGCAAAATGGAGTGACAAAGGGCATACTATGGTCTTAGCACAGTGCAGAGATCAGAAGAGAGACTGTCCAGAATCTAGAGGACAGCTCTTCCGCAGTTCTTATGTCCTGGGAATTCAGCTCAGACAAGTAGTTAGCCTTCTTCTACCCTATGTTTGTGCATCTGAACCATGTTCACTAGACTAGCACAAGTCACTAGACAGCACATGACCAACACAGGGGACTTTAAACTCTTCTAGTCCTCAAGATAAAATAAAAAGAAAAAAATTAGATGAGTTCATTCTGATATGACTGATTTAACTTTATAGATAAAAAAAATATCATTTCAATATACAGTTGGTCCAGTAATTCTTTTTGCTGTGCTTAAGAATAAATCCAGGATCCCATCCACACTAGGCAAGCACAATATCACTGAACCACATCCCCCGACTGATATAAAATTAGTAGTGAGATACTTTACATTCACTTTTTCAGACTGAACGAATCTTTGGTGTATGTTCTGTATTTCTTACCAAACACAATTCAGACACTAGATTTCCACTGGAAATACTTTCTTTTCTTAAATGAATGCCGGAAAAGTAAATTTGCACACTCAGATTATTCCAAACACACTTTGTTTTTCAGAACACAAATTCAATGTGTTTTTAAAATTTAAATGTAAATTAATTAAAATCAGTATTGAGTGAAGAAGATCTAAAATCCACCACAGTGATGTCAGTCTTTTGGGCTAACCTATTTTAGAGTTAGTTATAGATAGTTTGTTTTAAATATATATACATATATATATATGTATATATATATAAATTTTGATGGGGTGCTTTATTTCCATTTAGAGGTGACTGTTAGAGCCATTTACCATCTTCATTTACCGCATGCGTGTGTGTGTGTGTGTGCGCGCGCACGCGCGCGCGATGCGCGTGCACACACTGAAAACCTAAAGGCACCTCTACCCAACCCTAGAGCTCCCTAAACAATTATAAGTGATGATTTCATGCTCAAAAAGTTCATAACACACATTTAGAATCCTAGAATCCTGAGGCTCAGTAGAGATTATAGCATACATATGGTCTAAGTCTTACACAGTCCCTGCAAGGCAGCAATACTTATAGAATATTTTTCAGAGTAGAAGGGGTCAGCCTCTGTTAAACACATGACAACAGAAAGATCATTTCATTTTCTTTTGCCTCTCATGGTTTTCTGTGTCCTTATCTTATCTTCCTAACTAGGTTGAAAACAAGAACTGCTTTTTACAGCCCGGCAGTGCCCACACAAAGCTAGACAATCAATAAATTATTAACCAAAGGCCTGCCTGACTGCAAGACTTCAAGGTCACTCGAAATATCAGGGTCACTGCATTGCAAAACTCTGAAGAATTGTTTCTGTGCAAGCAGTAGCCTCATAGAATCCCCCAAGGTTTCAACTGGACTATCTCAAAATGTAAGAAATTCTTTCTTGGAACAACATATTTCCTTCCCTTACCCTACAATAGGAAGCAACTACAGAAGTCACTTTTCTGCTTTTGGAGCATGTGTTTGCATGCATATCAAAGACATATACTAAGGTCACAAAATGAGCAAAGAGGTTTTTCATGGCTGTATGATTTCTGTCTCTGTGAAGTTGAGAAAATGCAGATAAGGGTGATGGAGCAAAAAGGTTCCCTTAAGAAAACCCTCTGTTCACTTCAGAGTATTGCAAACTGATGGGTGTTTGTTTTCTCTCATGTCTACCCAGGAAATCTCGTGCTGCCTCCTGGAACTTCTCTTGGAAGTGGACTCACACCAGAGGCAGCCAAAGAGCTAGGTCTTCCCTCGGGGATTGCTGTGGCAGCCTCACTCATTGACGCCCATGCAGGAGGACTAGGTAACCTCTTCTTCCCCGCCCAGCACCAGCTCTGTGGGTTCTCTGGGCAAACAGAATGGTACCAAGAACCCAGAATACTTCTTTCTATTTGCACAGCAAAGGTCAAGGGCTGATGATTCAAGGTGTAATAATGAAACGCCTTTATATACATAGGCATTTGAATAGAATTAGAAAACTTTTAATTAAAAATAAAATTTATAAACTATTAATTTCTTAATACATAATAATATGAAATTAATCTAGATAGTTCTCTAGCTTACTGAGCGACAACATATGTTCACTTCCATCTACAGTGTGTGATGGTAGAATACTTTCATGTATTCTTTTTTTACTAATGGTAGTGCAAAATCTTTATAAGCATAATATATTTATTTAATAAAATAGTTGGCCTTTTTTCCTAAATCCAATTACTTGATTGAAGCCTTGATTTAATTTCCTATATAACTTTCAAGTTTTCAGTTCTTGCATTTATTTATTCATTTTTCAAGAACCCATTGACTACTTTCCACACACTCTGGCATGGTGCTAAGGGATGGTGGATTTAAAACAGAGCCTGGGCTGGTGTTAGAACTCAGTGGTAAAGCACTTGCCCACTTTGTACAAGATGTGCAGTTCAGTTCTCAGCACCTCAAAACTACATAAGTGAAATGAAATAAAATAAAACAAAACCAAATTCTCCTCCCAAATTTTAATAGAAAACATACAACAACGCAAAGAACAATAGTTCAATGTGGTGATTCTGTTCTCGTCTCCGTCTCAACTGTACTGTCCTTCTTTGACTACTATGATTCTCAGGTTCTCTCAATTTTACTACAGTCATATATTTTCCCTATCTTTTCAGTACAGCAGCATTTGTTTCAAATTATGGCTTGTAATCTGTAAGACAAATGTACCAAGCTATGACATTGAATTTCCATAATAGAATGGTATAAAGTAGAACAGAACAGAGCAGAACACAGCAGAGTGTGTGTCTTGCACAGTACGGGTAAATACTGTGTTGTTAGCCTATGTTTCTGCTTGTGAGTATTATGTATGTGTATACCAGGCCATGGCTAAAATGAATTTCTTGTAATGGATTAAGGTCACAAAACTTTAGTCAAGTCTGTTGACACACATGTGTCATTTCAGCTACTTGAGAGATGAGGCAAGAATTCAGCCAGTTGAGTGGCATAGTAAGACTCCAATTCTTAATTGCTGAGTCATACTTTACCTTAGAGTAGCTGTTCTTACAAACTACCCTTTCATGGTGTTGCCTAAGACCAATGGAAAATACAGATATTTATATTATAATTCCTAACAGTAGCAAAGTTACATTTATAAAGTAGCAATGAAAATAATTTCATGGTTGTGTGTCACCATAATGTGAAGAACTGTATTAAAGGGTTAGGAAGCATTAGGCAGGTTGAGAATCACTGCCTTTAAGTCAAGAGCTGTCTCTTAAGGACTTGCATAGGTTGTTTTTCCAGATCTCATTCCATTACATCTCTGTCTTGGCATATGTGTTATCTGCCTAGAAATGACTGTTATAATCTCAACCTACTTTATACTGCAGTAGCAGCATCCCTGAGGCCACAGATACCGAGAATATAGATTTATTCTTACAGTTCTGTAGCCTGGAAGTCCAAGGTCAAGAGACTCACATGTAGTAAAGTTCTGTCTGTGTTAGAAGGTGGAAGGGCAAGTGAACGTTTTTGCACATGAATGAGAAAGGGGGTTGCTTTCATTGGGAATCCTCTCCATTAATATATAACCCACCCCTACCATATTGAACACCTCTTACAGCTCCCACCTCTCAGCATTGTCACAAATGGGGAGGCTTTCCAGGTAGGTAACCCCCTCCAATTTGAAGGTCAATGAAGGCTTTCTCCTTTACAGGGTGTTCAGTGGAGCAGTCAGATTTAAAAATTCTGTAAATTGTGCTTCTTTTTGTCGTATTTATTTATTTGAAGAAATGAACACATTGTGTTATAATTTTATGATTGATCTGATTGTCTTTTCTACCAGACCGAGAATTTCTTGAGAACAAGGACACATTGTTATTCATCTCATATTCCTAGTGGTGAACACTGTATTGTATTTTATAGGTTGCTGATCCATGCATTGAGTAAAGTCACATTAAACTTTAGAGGGAAGGTTAACCTGTTTCCTGATGTGTGGCATAGATGACACTCATCAGTCTAAGAGCTCTGCCCCTGTTCGTCTTTCTGTTCTCAGGCTCTGGCCCAGAGAGAGAATAAACAACAGGACTGCACATGGGATAGCAGGGTGACTCGTGGTGTGGCTCTGACCACAGGCAAGGTTGTTTCTCGCCAACACTTCCCAGTGTGAGCAGTGCTTCTGGGTAGAATGTCATGCTTTGAAGCACAGGCACAGACAGAGCTGGAGGTGTAGACAGACATGGAGTGTTCTTGTCTCATAGTTACCCTGACTGCGCAGATCATGGAGGTGCTCAGGGAAACTTTCTTCATCATCTTTTGCAATTTTCCCTAGGGTGACAGTCTCAACCATTTGCCTCACCCAGGTGA